CACGTCTGGTCTCGGAACCGCTGAGATTGGCGGCAGTCGCTGTTTTCTCCGGATACACAGCCTCGACGATCACCGGGGGTAATGATTCCGCTCTCGACACTCGCTCGGTGTACTCGCTCCCGCTTTCCGTTTGCGCGCTCGATGCGAATTCTTGTTCGTCGCCTCGGTTGGAGTCGAACGACTCGTCCAACTTCCGCGAGATTTGGTCGTTACTTCGGTTACGAGCAGCGGTGGTTTTGCCACCTTCGACCTCCGTCGAAGCGTCACCGTTCTTTGGCCTTATCAAGTCGCCTAAGAAGGGAAAGTACTTGGGCTCGTCTTGTCGCGCACCTATTACGAAACTCGGCGTGTATTGCGAGATCAGCGGCAGCAAAGTTTGCCGCGCGTATCGCTCGGCCTGTGCCAGAATACCGGCCAGTCTCTCCGGCAAGAATTGCACGGTGAACGCTCTGGTGGAAGTCGATGAGGTTTCCTGTATTTCGTCGCGCTGCTTCTCGTGCTGTTGTTGCAGCTGATGATGATGCGGCGTCATTTCGTTCTGCCGAGTGGCTCTCGGACGTAGAATCGGTTCCGTGATCTCGGACAGCTTCAGCGATCGGCCGGTCTCCTTCTTGTTCGGACGCAGCACCGGTTCTCTGATTTCCGGCGAGAACTCCGTAGTGGCGACGGTGGTCTCAACAACGCGCTCCTTCGTCGTTGATGCGCGATAAATCAGATTGCTGGCACCCGAGAAACTTCGTCCGTTCTCCAACTCGATGTTCTCCAGCGAGTTCGAATCGCCGTCGGTCGATATGTCCAGAACGATCCACGGATTCGCGACGTTGCGAACGTTCTCCGCGTTATCGAATACCTTCGACTCGGTCTCGGCGACGCGAAGATTTTGTTCCCTCGTATACGGACCGAGATTCTTCTGGGAATCTCTTCTGTCGGTTGGAAAAACTTCTGCGGAATATCCGGAATTCTTCGTCTCGTAGTTCCGCTCCCTCGTGAAGGGTCCTATGCCGCCCGTCTGCTGATTCTCTTCCTCGACCGTCATGCGTTCGATCGTCGGCATCGCGGTTGAGTTGTCGTTATCCACGGGAATGTTGCACTCGCCCGGATAAAGAGGTAGATAAACCGGCCGTCCGGATTCCAAAATTAAACTTTTCTTGCAAACCGACAGCGTCTTGCCGAAACTGTCGATGATGGCCACCTTGTCGATGGTCCAGGACACCAAACCGGAGGATATCCAGCCGGAGTAAGCTGTGTATTTAATCTGACGAGGAGAGAGACAGTACGAGATCGTTGAAGTGCAATTGGATAAGTTTGCGAGAGAAGAAACAGAGTATCAGGGGCGAGCCGCGCGCGCATCTTGCGGTTTGGTTTGGGGCGTATCCGCCCCGACGATCTGTTTCGTCGTCTCGAAATAAAACATGAACGGAAAGAAGAAACGCGCTTACCTCGATCGCGTCGAGATTGGCGACCGCGGGATGCGGCACGACTATTTTCTGAAGAATAACTCCAACGAGAAGCTCTTCGTCCTTCCGCGTCATCGCGAACGTTTCGTTAAAAGAGCTCTTCCCCACGAGTGTGACCTGCAAAAATTATATATTTTCAATCACGCGAATAGAATCTTGGAAACAAGACGCGCGTATATGCGGGGCGATTGACGATCCCCGAAACGACGGATGTCTCGACTCTTTGCTACGCCTTCCTGCATTTAATTATTTAATAAACAAAGGTATTATGGCTATTGAAGCAAACACTGATGTCGAGGTGTGAATATTTGAATCGATTTATTGAAACTTTGTTGCTAAACGTTTTCGACCTTGTATTAGGTATTTTTCAATGCATTTAATATTGTATTAAAATACGTCGCACAGTGCTGTCAAGAATGTTCATGTCGCACAAGCAGACCCGACCAACACTTTACAAATGGAATAACGCGACTGACCAGTGTTTGCTTCAATAGCCATAATATCTTTGTTTATTAAAAAATTCTTGAAGCTATATACACATATCTTTACATATTTAATTATTTAATTGAATTTTTTTAAACTAACGAATGAAACAAATTGGGTTGTAAGATCCGTTTGCAGGATGTTGTGCAGAGAATGTGCTTAAATATATATATATGTGTATACACATATATACCTCGAAATAATTTTTTTCCTCCATATAGGATGCTGGATTTGCGTCACATATATATGAAGGACCTTGTATATACCCCCCTAACTGATTTTAAAATATATTGCGAAAAAAACTCCTCAGCCAGGAGTCGAACCTCCGGAATCTCCGGCTTTCCGGGCCGTCGCCTTCCCTGTTAGGCTACCGAGGCACTTGGAGTTTGTCTCGCAATACATACACTGAGAAAAAAAAGTTGGTGAAGTAACAAAATAGCATTCGATTCAACTATATGCAGCGGTCACGGGCTGTCAATAAAATATTGATTAATGTAAGAAGATATCATGTTTCAATAGATATAATAATTAGATTATACCGAAAGACAATTTATACATATAGTTGTTTTAACAAAATTATAATTTGTTTAAATACAGGTAACTTTGAATGTACAACGCAATAGGACAACACAATATTTTGTCTGCTTATAAAAATAAGCAGTTTGATTAAATGAAATAATTAGTACAAAGAAATTCAGATTAAATTCAATTAAAGTAAATGAGAATTGCCTATTTCATTTTTTTAACAGTATCTTTTATTTGAAATTATCACAACTTATGTTCGACAAAACAATTCATGGTTTAGTGAATTAAATATGTTCATTACCCTTATTGTTAATTCAACTTATACGAATTTGTTATCTTTATTGCCATATGCTTGAATTAAAAAACCAAGTATTTCAGATAACAAACTGAAACTCAACTAAACGCATTTAGTTGAGTTAATAGTATTTTTTTCTCAGTATATATATGTGATGCATATATCCAGCATCCTATATGGAGGAAAAAAATTATTTCGAGGTATATATGTGTATACACATATATATATATATATATATATATATTCAAGCACATTCTCTGCACAACATCCTGCAAACGGCTCTTGCAACTCAATTTATTTCATTCATTAGTTTAAAGACTCCCGAGCCCGAAGAATCTTCTTCTTGTTATTATTAATTTGAATTTTTTTTTTTGTTTTCCTATATTTCGTCGATGAGACGAACGATTTGGTAGACTCGGCAAAAGTTTTCTTGCTGGCCGGTATAAGCCAGCAAAACTTGTTTCCCGTATATTTGTGAAACCCAGAGATCCTGGATCTACAACAGAAGGACGCATCTTGCTTACCTGAAGCTTGCCGTAACTTCTGGCGGATCTTTCGTTACGGCTGTTGTAAACCTTGATCTGATATTGGTGAGCGCAGAATGGCTCTTCCTCCCTCGTCATCAGATAGAGTTGGCCTCTGGCCGGCGACTCGTTGCTGTAATAACCCATGTCGCCGCAAGGTTCATCCGCGCCGTTCTTACCGCATGGAAAACACTCGCCTCTCAGCAGACCCTCGTAACCGTGCTCACACGGGAACGCCGGAAATCGACATTTCGGACTGACGGAATCGGTGAAGAACTTGTAAGCACGTCGATGATTGCACAACGACTTGCCCTCGACTGCACTCGCTATTATCAAAGCAATAACGTTTAAATCAATAGAATAGATTCATAAGGAAAAATTGATTCGCAAAACAAACGCTTACACCAGATGATGTCGGAAACAGCGCCGAGGAAAAGATTGGAGCAACCACTTTGCATCTTACCGCCGTTCGGATAATAATCCACGTGGCCCATCGGTTGCCAGGAACCAAGACCGCCCAGTATCAATTGCTCGCCGTTGCTGTGAATAACGTCGACGAAGTTTGCGTCCGTCGCGTCTAAACGAACTCTTGGATCCTGCGACTCGAAAAGCGGTCCCGCAGGATCTAATCCTATATTTTACAAAAAAATTCGCAGCGATTAAATAATACAAAATACACTTTCGCGTTTCTCGTGAGTTTTTCATTTCTTTGAAGAAAGAGAAATCTTTTTATTTAATTTCAAAAGATTTACGAAGCAGTTCCATACGGCAGGGACTTATTACCGATATGATTTCAATACCGGTATTATACTAGAGATTGTATACCGTTACCGTTATAGTACCGAAACCGATATGTACCGAAAACCGATATGTACCGAAAACCGTAATAAAATACCGGTATTATTTCCAGAGGCGTATTTAACGTCGGTGCAACCGGTGCGATGCACCGACGGGTCCCGGGATCTGCGGGCCCCCGGTGCATGATAAACATTTATAAATTTATAATATTCATAACATTACCTATCGGAGTTGCGAGTGTCGAAAGATCATTTAGTGTATTAAGGAGACTTAAAAGTTATTTAACAAGTACCATGACACAGGAAAGAACATCTGATCTAACTTTATTATCAATAGAAAAAAATGTTTTGATTAATTTAAATTTGGAAGATGTTGCAAACAAATTTATGTCGGTTAAAGTTCGAAGAGGTGTTTGTTTCTAAATTTGCATACAAATAAGAAATCATTAAAAACTTTTGTCCAATTGCCTTTAATAAATAATAATAATAATAATAATAATGATAATAATAATAATTATTATTACTATTATTATTATTATTATTATTATTAATTAAAGGGCTCTCTCATCTTTGTCCTGGCACCGAAGTTTTACCAGTCTTAAAAACGCGCCTGATTATTTCGGTATTCCTACTAATGGTATTCTTAAAAATTAAATAGGTTAATTAAAGCAATTTTTGTTGCATAATTAATCTTCCTACCGCTTATTGGACTTATAGACCGACAAAATATAAAAACGCTTTTTTTTTATAAACCAATTAAAGCAGCTATTTCTTCATGCTTTCTTTTATTACGTAGCATGACTAATGTAATGAAATTTTTAACAAATTTGGATATTGATAAATATGTCTATGTGTATTTTGTTACTGTTCTTAATTATATTAATTATTGTTACTGTTCTTAATTATATAAAAAAATAATAATAATTTAAATAATATTAAGTTTTTGTGCGGCAGTTTTTTATAAACATTATATTATTAAAAAGTATTATCTACATAATGACAACACTTATCATTTTAAGATATTGCTTTTAAAAAATCACGAACAAATTATCGGTAAATATAGGTAAATATGGGTAAATATACCGGTATTATCGTATACCGGTATGACGTCATACCGGTATTTCTGCATTTCGGTTTGCATAAGGGTTTTCATAGTATTANCNAAAAATATCGGTAAAATACCGGTATTTTGCATACCGGTATAAGTCCCTGCCATACGGTCGACGCTTGTTTAAAAATAAAAAAAAACAACAACATTTTTCATGTAATTTTTGAAAAATGCGAATAGATAACGAAATATGTCGCGCCGCTCGTCGCGGCTTGAACGATGTTTCTTTTTTTTTTTTTTTTTTATCTCAGAATTTTAAATCTCAGAATTTTAAACAGTTAGGAATGCGAAAATTTATACACAAGGACGGTGAGTTTTCAAATTATATGGTGTAAATACGTATTACGTAAGAATATCAACCGGTTGTGTGTGCGCGCGTACATACACGGATTTTATTGCACATGCCAGATGTACTCTAACATATGTTTTACTTCGCAACCAGTTATTTTATTTATTACCTACCTACGCTCGCGCTCACACAGTGCGTACAGTATCAGGTTCGAAATTGCGAAAATAATCGTTTCTCCATGTTACATTGGCGTTCGAAGCAAGATAATACGCGCGAACGATTTGTTTCTGAGTAATAATTTCGCAATTTTCAGTAATTTTTCTTTTCTATATCGAAAGTCAAATAAAATTTGCAGCTTGAGAAGCAAAGATCGCGCAATCGCAGATAAAAATACAATTCGCCGGAAATGGAAGGTAATGACTTTATTGCTTTCACTGCGAGCATGTGAAATTAGAAACCGCGAGAATAATTGTTGCCTAATCCTCCTTCGCGAAACGGCGTTTAGGAAGCGAGAAACTTGCCGGGGGGGAAGGATATCGTGTCCTAAAAATTTCAAGTTTGAGAAACGCTCTTCTATCTTCCATTTCTCGTCGAAATCCAAACGAAACGCGACGTTAACGCGAATCCGCACCGGTGTAAAAACCCGCAAAGTGAATATGAATTCGCCGCGGTTCGATCGTAAGGCACTCAATCGAAAGGCATCGACGCGTGTCGAGGTAAGAGGCGGAATGCACCGTGCATTTAAATGCGTCGAAACCTGGTTGCTGACAGCGGGACCTTGTTACAGTTACTTTTCTCGAATAATCGATTATACGGCCGAGTTATATTCGATTAGGCTTATATTTCTCTCTCTCTGTTTTACAGAGGATTTCGCAGGAAAGTCACCGCCTGATGTTTCGAGTCATTGCAAGTACAATGAACTTGAATAAAAAACATACCGTAAACAGGAAATAACTGTCACGCGCCATGACAGCGCGCCGTAACAATCAGCGTCATGTTTATTAGCGTGGAATGAGCAATTAGATATTTATTCTTTCGAGAATTAAAAAACCTATATACCCCACAAGCTCGAATTTAAAAATCATCAAACAACGTTCACGGCGGTTGAATTTAATTAATAATTTGTTCGGCTTTGCAACAAGATTCGAAAAATTTTCGTATTTTACCGCGCTAAAAAATAATATATATATATAATTTAAAAATAATAAACAATATTACACACAAAAAAGAGAGAGAGTTGTGTGAAATTGAACCTACCAGTAATTCTAGACACATTTCCGAGCTCAGCTCCGGCAAATCCGGCTACGTGAGCGCCCAGGCTGAATCCTATCAGGTGTACCTTTTCCAGTGGCACGTTCAAGCTGCGAATTAATTTCGCTAATTGCCGACCCACTAGTCGCGTATTAGCCGCAGCTCGCACGTAATTGGGAACAGCGCTCCCCGGACCCCAATCAACGCAAACTGCAAATTATTGCAACGTTTGAAAAAAAAAGTTTCTACATCTCACGGTAAAGGACGGAAAGGTAATTTTTATGCACAATTATGAATAATATTCAATTATACATAAAAAAAGAATATTAAAAATACCTATATTACAGTCGTGAATGCTCATTAACGCGGACTTCATATCGTACACCCATAAGTGATTGCAATTGCTTCCAAATCCGTGCACTATGACTTTCGTCGGTAAATTCGGGTCTATGGCACGGTTCGCGTTGTCGCTTATATCGTCGGCAGGTACCTCCATAGGAATTGATCTCGCTCTTCTACTCCCGTATACGAAAAATCTACGAGAAAGAGACAATTAAAAATACGATTTGTCAAACGTATTGAAATAGCAACACCGGATGAGAGAATATACAATTTACATAATTTTGGTGTGATAAGCTCCGATGATATGAAAAATTTGAAGGAAACAAATGGCTCTTAGAAGCAGACACGGATGTAGAGGTGCAAAATTTAAACTTTGTTTATTGTGCAATGTAAAACGTTTTTGATCTCTGGTTTGGGTCATTTTCAATA